AGCTATCTAAAGCGCCGATATTATATACGACCTACTAGTACTCTCTACTAAAAATACGCCTTATAATACCCTTAATAGACGGTATTAAATAATAATATTCTTAGAAAAGAATATACTAGATTATAACTAGCTTTTTTATAGTATATAGATATACTCTTTTAGCTAGATACTTAACCCCTCGTAGTTAACTTAAAGTTCTAATTTAAAGCCTATTAATTTAGAGATAATTAGCTTATAGTATATCGTATAATTACGTAATATCTTTTTATCTAATTATTATTATCTCTCTCTTATCTCTTTAAGATAAACCCTTTAGTTTAATCTATCTACTAAGTAACTCTAAAGCTTAGTAGAAGAAGCCTACTATTATAGCGCCTTAATAAATTCGTCGATATCTTACTAGTCTAGTTCCCGCGTAATAGCGTTAATATAACGTTTTTTAGAATACTATTTTATTACGTTCTTATTACTTTAGTATATTATATAGTCGTTATTATAGTACGCGGTCTAGCTAATTCTAGCGTATTTAAGTATATTAAGTACTCTACGCCGCCTATTAATCTCTTTAAATAAATCGACCTCGTCTAGTTTAAGCGCTATAGAGAGCTCTCGTTAAGTCTCTTATTTATCTCTAGTAGTAGTCGTAGTATTACGTACTTTCTTTTTAGAGTTACGTAAGTAGTAGTATATTCTTTTCTATTTATCGCTATAGTAAATATATAGCCCCTTCTTAAACTATAACTTCTATTAGAGCGTTTATTCTTTACGTTAGATACGTTTATCTTTTCTATAGCTTTAATTCTTACTTTTATTATTATTTATCGTAGTACTTCGTTAAGCGTTATCTAACTCTATAGTATCGCCCCCTTTCTAAATATAGCGAGATTATTATAGCTAGATACTATTAGCTTCGTAGAATTTCTTATTAAACTATCGTTCGTTACGTCGTCGGTCTATAAGTTAAGCTAGTTTAACGAGCTTAGATAGGCTTTCTAGTCTATTATAGTAGATTATAGCGTTCTTAATTTCCTCTCTTAGTCTCTAGTAGTAGAAAGTCTATAGAATAGCGTCGGAGTACTATTTAGTAGTAAGATAGACTATATTCTAGAACTAAGTAATATAGTTCTAAATAGATTCTTTCTACTTAAGGTTTATTAGGATACGGGTAGCTAAGCGAGCTTTATTAAGGCCGATAAATACTTCTTTAAAAGTCTATATAAAGGCTAGATAGCTATTAAAGAGCTTAATTATAGCTTCGTTTTTTTACTTAGATAGCTTCTTCTATTACTTCTATTTATAGAAACGGAACTATTACTCTACGAAATTACGTAGAAAGATACTAGCGTAGAGTATCTTCTCTACTTCGTTAGTAAATTATCTATAGAAGAAGTAGATATAGTCGTTAAGCTAGATAATAAAGTTTTATATTTTCTTACGATTTCTCTAATATAGATTAGATTTTAGAATCTTAATCTTAATAGCGGGCGCCGTTATAGATTTCGCGGTTATAGTATACGTAAGTACGATTAATAGCGCGGGTCGGCGTTATAGTACTTTAAGCTTCTTTTTAAGTCGAGCGTTTTCTTCGCTTTAGTTATAGAACTAACTCTAGAGCTATCTAAGCCTACTCTAAATATTATTAATTATTTAGAATAGATCTACTATCGTAGGCTATTAAGAATTATTACTTATAGAGACGTCTATATTACTATTTTATTAATAATTTTTATACTAGGGATACTTTTCTATTTAGATATTAACTATCTTTCTTCTCTTATAAGAATAGTAGTTAAAGTATAACGATAGACTTCTTCTATTAAGCTTTAGAGTCGCTTAGTAGATAGATTAAACTAAAGAATTTATCTTAGAAAGATAAGAGAGGAATAATAACGATTAGATAAGAAGATATTATATAATTATATAATATATAGTAAGCTAGTTACCTCTAAATTAATAGGCTTTAAATTAGAACTTTAAGTTAACTACGAGGGGTTAAGTATCTAGCTAAGAGAGTAAATCTATATACTATAGAAAAGCTAGTTATAATTTAATATACTCTTATTTAAGAGTATTATTACTTAATACCGTCTATTAAGGGTATTATAAGATATACTTTTAGTAAAGAGTACTAGTAGATTATACGTAATATTAGCGCTTTAGATAGTTTTTAAAATTCTAACTTTCGGCCTTTATTACTATTAAGTAGACGTAATTACTATCTTATTTATATCTATACTTTTATATCTACTTTCTACTTCTTAGATTCTATATTCTTTATAGAACTATAATTCTATTAAATTATTATATTCTTATAGTTCTTCTTCTTCTACGGGTTTTCTATTACGTATAGCCTTTCGCCCTTTCTAGATTTTTTATAGACGTTCTTCCCGTACGGGCTTTAACTATTATTTAAGCTTAGTTTTATAGGCGTCGCGTTTTCCTACGTTTATTCTTCCTATACGGAATTTCTAGCTATATAGCTTTACTATTTATAAGGCTTATTAGTTCTTACGATACTTTTTTCTATATAGGCTTTTAATTCTTAGAGTTATAAAGCCCTAGTACCCCGGAATTCGTAATAATAAGTATATAAACTAATAGAATAAATAAATTATACTATATCTATTTATTTTTTTATTAGAATTTATAGTATTTAGTAAGGGGTAGTTATATTAGTATAAGAAGTAGAGGGGAGGTACTAGGGGTCTACTTATATACTCTATTCCTCGCTAACTAAGCTATTCTATATATATTATAATATATCCTTCTACGAGCTTACTTCTTAAGGAAGGTCGTAATCCTTAGCGTGGTGTTAAGGTTCTTACTATGCCTTACCTGCCTGCCGTGCCTGCCTGCCGTGCCTTAGACTTGAGCCGACTCTGCTTCTGCCCGGGTCGCGCAGGTGGTTGTGCGAGAAAGTGGTCACTCTGCCGCATTGCGTCATCGGTCGCGTCGCCAACTCGTCTCCCACCTTCCCGCGCGTTTGCTTCATGAGAGAAACACAGGCAACGCCGACCACCCAACCTCGCCAGCATCCTCCCCATCCGCTGCTGTCGTATGACCCCCTCAGCACCGCTACGCTTTGACCGAATCCGCCATGCTTCCAAGTCCAATCGCCGCGACCGCCGCCCACTGCTGCAGCGCCGACACTGTAACCTCCATGCCAGCCGCCCAGTACCGCCGCGTCTTTGCTGCAATCGCCGCCTGCGCTCTTCTACCAGAATGTGCCAAGAAACCTCGCAGTCATCTGTTCGCCTCTCTCCCGGCAATGCGACTCCCGATTTGATAGAGCCGCTTATGACTTACCTGGACTTCTCCCCTAACTGCCACGTTGGACGTTTCAAAGCTCTGGACGAGCATATCAGAGCCGCTGGTAGGTCTACTCAATGCTCACCCCAAACACCCAAGTCCCGAGCTGACTGGCCAAAAACAGTGCGCCTCTCCACAATCACTCGGTGCTGCACAGCACATCTCCTCTCACGAGCCCGCACTTCCACATTTAACTCACTACTACCACCTTCCGCACCATGAATCGCAAGAGTCCGCGGGGCAGCAGCACCGCTTCGAAATTATCTGGATGGTGCTGACGCACGACCACCTCGCCTACCTGCGCTGTGCCTGGAGAACAAATGCTGAGATATAGGCTGGGTCATGAATGAGCAGAACGGACTTGCATTCCACTCGAAGGCTCTACCATCCAGCTGGATCCTCCTGAAGTCTGGTGCCACGAGACTCTCTCCCTCCGCTTTCTGCTTCCTTGTCGCCGGCCGCTCTCATTTTCTCCGCACATCTGCCGCGTCTCATAACCTTTGACCAAGCCCGAAGCATGCTCGAGGAAGCACTTGCGCTCCCTTCGCCTACAAGCAGCTTTTGCTCGAATTCCAGCAGCTCTATAATGCGTTGAAAAGTCGTAGGACTTCTACTCCTTTAGCATTCCTCACAAACCTGTCCCCTTCATTGCCTTCATCCACGTTAGCCCGCCCTCACGCGCATCACCTCAGCGTGGGGCATCCCGATCGACCATCTGGGTGCTGAGTGTGGTTGTCGTACTTGATGACGCTTCTCTATCTTTCTCGCTCTCATTTACTTCTCCCAACCTCTCAAGACATCCACCGAGCGTCCCCTCATTCTATGTTGTTTACTTACCATTTTCGGCACTCAACTAGCCCTTGGAATTCTCCCAGAGATCCGATGTCCACTTACTGATCCGTTACCGGTGCAGCGCCTCTCCGCCCATCCACACCCAACCTCGCTGGTGGCGTCCGTACACTGCTCTCGTCTGCTCGTCGACATACACATGGATGGCTACAAGGAACGGGGATGTCTAGTCGCAATTCGCAAGCACACGGTCGCGTCATCAGTGCAAGCTGAAGTCTATCTTCCCACTTGCTCTTCCGTGGTTTCTTTATAAGCCCACGGGGCCCTTTCGCCAATCGCCGGAGGCTTTCTATCTGCGCAACCAACCAAACGAGCCTCGGTCAAACCCACAGGAGAACCACCGTTCATTCGCAAACACCAGCTGCCGTTGATCGTTCCAGCTTCCTGAACAGCGACGACAATATGCACTGAGGCAGCCATGTGGCTTTCGAGTAGAGAGAAAAGGGGCAAGAAGGAAGTTAATGGCGAATACGGAGCAGGAATCCATGGCGCTCGTTGTAAGGGTATAGGATCAAGATAGATAATATGAATCGTATCAGAGTTAGAACAGAGACGAATCGTTATCGATTCATTCTTTCGTTCCTCTGGCATTCTTATAGCTAGCTAGTTCTATGTCATGTACGTGATTAACTAGCCTTGCTTTCCTATGCTTGGCATTGAGCTTTAATGGGTCCCAATGTCTGTTAGTGAGGCTAGTAGTCCGTCTCTTGACACTCGTCTCGCAAAGAAGGAAAATACTCGGTATTTCTCACGTCAACAATATATAAAATTTGCCAGCGTTACAAAAAGGCTCAAGATACAACGCCACCACTTCGGCGGTGAAGCGAGACGGGCAGGAGAATCTACAGCTTCGCGTCGGCCGCGGCACGGCCTCCCCGCCGCCCGGCAGCGCCAGCAGCGGGACCACCGGCCGCGGCAGCCTGCAGCATCTCGACGAAGCGCGGGGCGAGGACGCGCTTCTGCTCGTCGGGGACGTACGCCCACGCGCTGCGCTCGGCCGTCTCGTCCGCGCGCCACCGCGCCGTCTCGCGCGCCAGCCACGCCGCGCACGCCGCCGCCGTGCGGCCCACCTCCTCCATCGGCATCAGGTGGCCCGCGCCGTCGAGCGTCACCGCCGCGACGCGCCGCCGCCGCCGCCGCCGCCCGTCCCCGACCGCCGTCCCCGTGCGCCCCACCTTGTCCGCCGTCGGCTCGCACGCCGTGTAGTGCGACGCCCCGCCGAACACGTACAGCACCGACGGCCGCACGTGCGGCAGCATGTGGAAGGTGACGACGGGCTCGGGCCGCTCGAACGGCGGCGCGGTGTCGGCGTCGGCGGACTTCTGATTGTCGTCGTCGTCGTCGTCGAAAGCGAAGGCGTCAAAGGTCGGGCGGAGGAAGGTGAAGACTTCCTGGTGCTTCGTCGTCGCGAGGGTGACCGCGGAGGCGGGGGCGTCCGGGTGCACGGCGGTGGGGAGGGGCCGCAGGCCGTGCTCGATCCAGCGGTCGAAGACGCGGGGGTCCCAGCGGCGATGGAGCCTGTTCCTGGCGAAGTCCTCGGCGGCGGCGGCGCGGGAGGGCCACACGTCGCGGCGGCGGGCCGAGGCGAGGGCGGGCCGGTGGTAGCCGTCGGCGAAGATGCGGCGGTGGATGATGGGGTCGATGAGGACGAGGCTCTCGAGCAGCCGCGGGTGCAGCAGCGCCAGGCTGACCAGCATGGTGCCGCCCATGCTGTGCCCGATGCCGACGAGCGGCCGCACCATCTGGTCGCGGAAGGCGTTGACCATGTGCAGCAGGTCGCGGGCGTGGTCGAAGGCGCAGGCTGTGCGGTCCGATGAGCTCGCCGAAGTCTTGGGACACCGGCCGGGGAATATACGCACGCTCGTTTCCAAGCTTGAACTCGTTCATGACGCCGCTGGCGCCTTGGTTGGCGACATCCGCGATCCAGATGCCGCGGATCGAGACGCCTGCGGATTTTACCCGATCGTGGATCTCCGCCCAGAGTGGCTCGTATAGTTCCTGGCTACTCGTCAGGGTCTCTCCGGGTTACTTATCTATAGCGGCTACCTTGGGGAACCCTTGCGCATGTGCGCCGATTATGGTCACGTCGCCGACTTGTGGGCTCGGGTTGTCATGTGGGATGTACTGCTTAATGGCGAGGTGGAGTACCTCCTCCTGTTCGTGCGCGGTGGCGCGAGGATAGCCTCGGACGTGCTGACAAGGAATGACATGCTCCTTGACGTAGAATGGAAATTCCGTCATGTTGAGCGGGATGATTGAGTTCGGCTCTAGAAGCGGTCCGGAGTGCTTCTTGAGTTACAACAGTGTTCAAGCATCTGGAATGCGATTGCTCAGCCGAAGAGAAGTGTGCATTCATTCGGCTCTGGCCTTAGTCAAGGTAGAAACCTGCTCTCATTGACGTTATGCGACATTACTATTGCTTGCTTGGCATCAAGACTAATATCAGCTAATCTGTCGGCTTACTAATATCAACTACTGGCTCGGTCTCAGCACCCGAGATGTCATTGTCTGTTGCGGCAAGACATTTACCCCGTCAGTATCTGACCGATGCGCCGGCTTATTTCGTCCAGCGGCTGATCGTTCGTCACCAAGAGCAACGAGATGGCGGCAGCGACCAAGCGTGGCCGATGCTGCACCTGCGACTGCCCGCACCCCCCCAGAGATAGGGTCATCAAGAGCGACCATAGTTCGGGCACCTGCTCCGGATTCAGCCGCGTGCCCGGAGTCCCACCACGTTCGCCTTAGGCCTACCTTGTCCTGCAGCCGATGAGACAGCCACCTCCAGCCGCCGTCCCGACCGCCCGACGTGGACGATTCCAGGAGCCCGCCCGCCGCGGAAGCGTCGTCGGAGCGCATCTCGGCGAGCAGCAGCGCCTCGGCCGACCTGACGACCTCGTCCCGGTAGGCGTGCGCCTCCCACGGCCGCCACGATCCCGCGGCGGCGCGCAGCTCCTGCAGCAGCTTCGGAAGGCACCGCTTCCGCCCGAGGCGCTGCGCCACCGAGCACCCCGACCCCTCGTCGAACCGCGCCGTGTAGAAGGCGGCCACGGCCGAGTCGAGGTCCGCGAACCCGGCCCGGTGGGCGCACCCGACCAGGTGCTCGATCCGCCCCTCCACGCCGGATTCCGGCGGCGACGGTGACGGTGACGGCGAGCCGAGGCCGAGGTCCAGGTCGAGGTCGAGGTCGAGGTCGAGGTCGTGGCAGGTCGAGGCGCTGCCTTGGCGTTGGGCGTGGTCTCCCGAGAACGAGAAGGCTCCGTGCGCGTCGCCTTCCTGCTCGTGACCCAGATAGAGAGCATCGGTGTTGATGGAGTCTTCCAGGAGACGGAAATCGTTGCTGCTCGGGGTGGGAAGAGGCGCGCTCGGGTCCTGACGAGAGGATGGGTCAGCGGGGAGCAGGCCGGCGGGATGGGACCGGCACCGAGTACCTCGGGCCCTTGCGGTAGAGGCGTGTGAGCACTGGCGCGGCCATGGCTAAGCTCTGTTACTTCACCCTCCAAGGCCAGCAGCTTCGCCTGGGCTGCAACCTGCTGTTCCAACTCTTCGATTCTCCGTTTCACATTCCGGCCTGGATCCTGTCAGCTGTCGCGCAGCAGACGTTGTTTCGGAGTGCGTGATACGGTAATTTCTCTGGGCCACGCGATTCTGAGCTCTCTTCTTCTCGATCAGGTCGCTCATGTTCTTCCAATCATCCCGGGTGGGGACACACTCCGGGGACCTTGCCGCAGTTGGGCGTGCCATTGTCGCCGATGAGAAGGTGGTTCGAGACGGTAGTTCCGATCTAACTTTATAGGTCCATCTGCGCAATTCTTCCGGACCTGGAAACATAATACGAGCTTAGATTGTCGACATCGCAAAGGAGAGAAGCACGGCCGTAGCGGGTCCGATCAATGTCGCGCAGAGGGCAGCATGACCACAGCCTTGGACATCGGTCTGCTAAGGAATGAAACTTGACCGGAATCGTGAGGCAGTGCCGACCGCGAGTCGTAGGCTTGTTTTTCATGTGAAAATCCGACTCGATGCTGATGCGGTCATGTCATCAGCATCGCCATTATTGGATGCAGTCCCTATCGCGGAGTTCCACTCTCGGTCCTCGGACAATTTCTCATGCAGCACAACAGATCTGGCAGAAATGGCGCGACGGGCCGATCCGCTTCCGCCAAGCAGCCACGTCAGCCCGCCGGGTCTTCCCGTCCGTAACTCCTTCTGCCGTAGCACCGCAGATGGACTTCCAGGAAAGGGAGGCGGCAGCGTGAACGACTCACCGACGTGCCGCTTGTTCCCAGAGTCATCGCCGGCGTAGAAGTAGGACACGACGGCACATGCACACGCCCTGCTCTCCACCGGCACTGGCACCATGGACCCCTTCACCAAGAAGACGTTCACGACCGCCCGGGGCCTGGCCTACGCCTTCTACGACTCCTCGCCGAACGCGCCGCACTCGGCCTCCCTCCCGACGATCCTCCTCCTCCACGGCTACCCGGACTCGGCCCGGATCTGGTCCGAGGTGGCGCCCCGGCTGCTGCCGCTGCGCGCCCGCATCATCGTCCCGGACCTCCTGGGGTACGGCGACACGGACAAGCCCACGGACCCGGCGGCGTACGACTCCGAGTCGATGGCGGGCGACGTGGCGGAGCTGCTGGCGGCGACGGCGCCGGGGCGCTGCGTGGCCGTCGGGCACGACTGGGGCTCGTTCCTGGCGCAGCGGCTGCACCTGTGGCACCCGCACGCCGTCGCCGGGCTGGCCATGGTCAACGTCGCCTACATGGCGCCCTTCCCCACCCGCCTCGACCTCGCCGCCCTCGACCCGCGCTGGTCGTACTGGGGCTTCTACGCCGGCGACGGCGACGCCGCCGCCGTGTGCGCCGCCCACGCCGCGAGCCTGTGGTGCGCCATCCACGCCGCGAGCGACGACGTCCGGCGCGCGCTATACTCGGCGCCCGGCGCGCTGCGGCGCTTCCTCGAGGCCGACGGCGCGTGCGAGGTGCGCGCCTACGGCCGCCTGCCGGCGCACCGCGACCCGCGGGCCGAGTGGCTCGCGCGCATGCGGGCGGGCGGCTTCGAGGGCCCCCTGTGCTGGTACAAGGCCGTCGTCGGCGGCTTCACGCCCGCGGTCGAGGCCGAGCTGGCGGGCCGCGACCCGGGCCGGCTCGTGGTGCGGGTGCCGGCGCTGTTCGTCGGCGCGACCGGCGACCAGATCTGCTCGCCCGACGCCATCAGGGAGCCCTGGGCGCGCGGGCTGCTGCCCGACCTGCAGATCAAGATGATCGACGGCTTCCACCGGCCCATGCTCGAGAATCCCGAGCAGCTGGCCCTGTTCGTCGCCCACTGGCTGATTGAGAAACTCGGATTCCCGCCCGGCTTCGCGCCCGACATGTACACAGGCCTGTAGTCGCTAGTCGATGTGTGTGATGGTTCAATGCATCCTCGTGCAGTCCCCCTGTGCCGCAACACGTGGGGAAGTGAAGAATCGCCCAAGGGTTTGACCGGCCGTTTTGTCTCTGCGTTGGCTTCTCGTGTTTCATTGCCTTATTACGTGAGATGACTACTGCAGTGTCAGCCATGAGTCGGGTGACAGGTAACGCCAAATAATCCCCGGCCGTGCTGAGCCTACTAAGGTGACGGTCTCTTGGCGAGTCATGACGGCAACACTTTGAGTATGACTGGTCCTCCTTGGCATGCTGCGCTGCAGAGAGCTCTTGCAGGCCGTGACGGTTTTTCTCGGTAGCTCCCTGCAGATTCGCGAATAACCTCCTGCAAGACTTTGCGGAGCGGAGACGTGCGTAGTGAGCGTTCGCATGTTGAAGACACGACGAGATCAATCTTGAGATTCGTTGGCCCTGTCGATTCCGTAACCCAACTGGGCATGTGGTAATCTTTCCGTAACATCTACGTAAATACGTTGGGCTTGATGTAGTCGGGGTAAGCGTCGGCTCCTCGGTGACGTGTGGTGGCTGCCACGAAAAATAACACGAAAGGGGAAACCACCGTCGCTGTTCCAGCCGCCACGAAGAAAACCCCAGCACCCAGCCCCGAGACGATCAACTTGGACATGATGACGGCGAAAATGACGAGCATGAACCCTAGTTTCGCCTTGCTCGTGAGGTGCGTTGAGGTGGCACCAGCGCGTGCAGGTATGGGATCAGATTGTCGAGTCGGGGTTTGTCGTTTTGGCGGCTGGGTCGGGTCCGCGGGATTTTGCAGCGCCTGCATCTGGTGGTTAGAGTGCATCATTTGAAGGCGCCTGAACCCACCTTCGATGGTAGTCGTCCGACCAACAACCCGTCCATGATCGATTTTACATCTTCAGAGTGGGCGGCGTCTTCGAATCCTTCCGTGGCGTCCTTTCCAGCAAAGGCACGGAGTATCTCTCCCCCTCCCGGATGGTCGTCCAGGAACTCGGACACATCATACACTGACGATATCGTGTCAGCAAAATTCCCGACATCGTCAAAAACGGCACGGACCATATCCGTGGACGCAGATCCACGGATCCTTGTCGGTGCTGTGCTTGGCAACGTCTGCCAGCGACAACTCTTGTATGTTCTCCATGTTGCAGCAAGGCCTCTTTTTTTGGAAGGGAGGGTAGGAACGTATGTGGCACCGGGGGCATGAGCGCTCGCCAGTTAAGTGTGTATTTCGTGTCGCTCGAGTTGACTTGCACGAATTAGGTAAGTGATGTTTAGTAGGCCCCGACTAGGTGGCGCTGACTCAAGCATGAACTTATAACCTTCCGCCTGACACGGACGTCTGGCATCCCATTGATTCACCTGCTCGGACGAAAGTGGCTTTGAAATACACGACTCTTGCGTGAGACCGCTCAAACAACCCTTTCGTTTAATTCAACCCAAGGGAATCTGGTTCCGTTTCGGCCGCGCCCGAATGCATGCTGCAGATACCGAATGGCGGGCATCGACGTGTTTTTGCTCGGACAGGGCAAGAGCCCAACCCAATTCTTTGAGCTCGACGGATTGAAAAGTCTGGATGATCTCCGCGCCGCCGTGTTGAAAAGGTTCGCCATTCTGGCGGAGAGAGGTAAAGTGGGAGCCCGTTCCGGCTTGTAAGCACATGCTGATGATTCGTCTAGCAGAAGTGCGCTTCTTTTGCGGGTCCGAGGAAGTGCAAAACCTGGGAGAAATAGAGCATGGACGTGTCGGGGTTGCCGTCGGCCGCAATGGAGTAAGAGATCCCGAGGGACCGACGGGCGTCCCGATTTTTGGCAACTACTTCGACATTTACCCCGACCATGTCGGTAACTATCGAGGGCTCTTCGAGAGATACGGGGGCGTTATCAAGGTCTGCAATATGGGGCGAACCTTTTACCTGACCAACGAACCTGAGGTGGCCAGGTTTGTTTTCAGAGACGGCGACTACTTTACCAAGGCGCCGACGTCTCCAGGCCACCCGCTCCATGGGATCGAGGACCCGAGTGCACTGTTCCTCTGCGACACGGAATCGCCGGCTTGGAAGGAAGCCCACAAATTCCTTCCGCCCAGCATGTCACCGAAGGCGATGCGACACCACATGCCCATGATAACGGACGCCGTGACCGCATCTTTCAACGTGCTGGACCAAACAGAGACCACGGGCCAGGCCTTCAACGTGTTCAAGTTCGCAGGCAAGCTGGCTTCTCAAATCTCAGCAAAGCTGGTGCTCGGCATTGACCTGCACCACTTCGATTCGCTCGAGACGCCGCTGCATCGGATGATGGCTCTCATTGAACGCGCAGTGATGCTGAACACCCGCTTGCAGGTGAGGGGGAAGCTTTACTCGTACCTGCCGTTCGGTGCGTCCCCCATTCGTCTCCCCAAACAACGCAGCTGACCGCAACCAGGGGCCCCGGCACTCCTCCGACAGAGCCTGAGGGAGGTGTACGGCTACATTGACCAGGCGATCCTAGACTGCGACCACGACGGCGCGCCCAGCTTGCCCCTGCAGGCGGCGGCCGTTGGGTCGACCTCGCTCGTCGACTACATGCTCCGCGCAACGGACGGGTCCGGTCAGAAGATGACAAGCCGCTATGTGCGCGGGAACACGCTCGTGCTGCTCGGGGCGGGCTTCATCACCAGCTCGGCGTTTCTATCCTGGCTGATCTACTCGCTCGTCGTCTACCCCGGCACGCAGGCGCGCCTGCTGCAGGAGCTGGTCGACCACGGCGCGGCGCCCGGCAAACGGTGGACATACGAGGAGATCCACGCTATGCCCTTCCTCGACGGCTTCGTCAAGGAAACCCAGCGCGTGCACAGCCCGTCCTTCCAACCCGCTCGCAACGCCCGTCGGGACGTCATCCTTCCCGGCGGCTGGAGGCTGCCCAAGGGCGCCATTATCATTCCTAGCCTACCCCACCTACACACGAACCCCGACCACTGGAGCGATCCGTACCGCTTCGATCCCGATCGCTGGGCGACGGACCGCGTTAAGGATCGACACCGCTCCGCGTACGTACCGTTCGCGGCGGGCGCGCGGGGGTGCATCGGCTTCAATGCGGCGCTGCTGGAAGCAAAGGTCGCGCTCGCCGAGCTAGTCTACCGGTACGCGTTCGCCGACGCGAGCGAGGCCGCGGTGGAGTACGACCCCGAGTTCAACAACATCAGGCCATCGAACTTCTATGCCACGGCTACCCGGAGAACGGCCTGGCCGGCGCGGACCGGGGCGCCTCGCTGAGGTTGCGCAACCGTGGTTTGGTTCTCACTTGAGTCGAGGTGTGACGAGCGTCGCGCTGTGTCCTCTGTCTCGGCTGGAGACTGGCAACGCTGGAACCGCTCCTCAGATGCGGTGAGTAAGGAGTTACGTAGATCGGGGCTCGGCATGGCCGGCTGTTGTTCGTTTGATGAATTTACTCCGAGTTTCCTTTTGCATTCACTGTTTCCACTTGGTATTGTCGTTGTAACTGTGCAAGATGGCGGCGGCGGAGGGGAGCAAATGGCGGCGAGGCGAATGCCCAGCGGACACGACGGGTGCAAGGCTGGGTACAGCGAGCAGCGCGGTTGCTGGCTGGCGGCCATGGGTGAGCCTGTGGGCGCAAGCAGCGAAGGCGCTGCGCTGTCGGCAGTCGTGTCTGGTGCGGATGGTCAATGGGGATGGAGAGCGGGAAGGAAGCAAGCCCAAAAGGTCACTTAGCGGTGCCGCCGAGGTTGAGCTGGGCTATGATGCTGCGGCTGCAGGTGCGTGGTAGCGTCAAGCCCGACGTCGTCGCCGTGCGGACGAGAGTCGCGAGGTTGCGGAGGGCGGGGGCGGAGGGAGGAAGGTACTCGTGGCGCAGTGCGGCGCTCGTGATGCAGCGTGGCTTACGCCTACAGATTTATTACTGTCTCCAAGCCTCAAATCAGCGTCACCCGCCAGCCGGCGTGCCCATATCCAGGGCTCCCAGTCAATTCGAGAATTGACCAATTTCAAACAATTTCGCAATTTAAACCGTGAAGTCGTTCTACCTATTTAATTTAGGGGCCGAATTACTAAACTAATTTCACCCCCTAAAGTAGCTAATTTATTTAATTAATCTAGCGTTAAAATACGCCCCTAGAATAATAGACGGCCTTATTAAGCGATAGAGATTATATTTCTAATATAAAAATATATCGAACTAGTTATTTTTATAATTATATATAAGAATTAGAATTATAAGATAATTTTATATAGTATTAAGCTAGAATATATTCTTCTAGTCGAGACTAGCTATATATAGCTAGTATATTATAAGGTATAAGGCACGAATAGGGAGCTTAAGATAGATATAAGAAAAGAGCTTATAATTAATAGACGAATTCTTAAGAAATTCGGCCTTCGCCCGTAGGCCGAAGGGCTTTTATATATAGCTAAGCGAGAGTTACGTAACTAGTACGTAACTTCTATAGGTCTCGTATACGAAGCGTATACGAGACGCGGCCCTAGGTTCTTATACTACCCCCTCTACTATAGAAGTCGACTACGACCCCGTAAAGAATAAAAAAACTCGAGAACCTTATATACCTTCTACGAGAAAAACCTTTCTTATTAGAAAGGGAAAAGCTCGTAGCTAGAATCGTTAAGAAAATTTCTAGGCGCGAAAGCCGTAGTCTATATTTCTTAGAATATTCGCTTTTATCTATATTATAAGTAGGTGCGCGGAGTATACTTAACGCGTATAATTATTATACGCGGGTCGGGTATATAGCGCTATACGCTAGAGTAGTAGAAAAGTTTAGCTACTCTAGGCCGTTACGCGGCTTAGAGTATCTAAGAGTAGGACTCTATTAAGGGTTTAATTCTACGTAGGGGAAGTAGTAATTACTTTCTACGTAATAGCGGTTATTCCGTTTTTTATCTTTTTAGATTTATAATCGCGAGTCTCGTATATAGCTTAAGCGTTTTAGAACTATTATTTATACGTTCTAGGTACGTATAGTATACGTAGCGCGTACTTCCCCCCCGGTATCTCTTCGTAGTAATTATATTAGGCGTATCTATCTTTATAGAGTTTACTATTACTACTCGTAATTCTTAGTCTACGGCTAGGTTTAGTAGCTAGTATCGTTATATCTATATTTATTAGCTAGATAATAGGTTCTTACCCCTTTACGAGTAGTACTTAGGCGTTAGATAGATATAGTTTCTTCTATTAGATAGGCACGTTTCTATAAGGTCCGGGCCTATACGTTTTACGTACGCGTACCGTAGAAGGAGCTAGTAAGAAGTCTTCGTATATTAGAATTCTCTTACGCGATCGTTTTTCGACTCTACGCTATATCTATTTTCTAATATAGCTTTATCTTTAACTTCCCCCCGCGGCTCTACCGCTCGTTCTTTAACGTCTTCTATTACTCTAGAAGCTAGTCCTATAGATAGTATAAGTAAGAAAGAGAAGAAGCTATCTCGTATAAGCTAGCTTAGTCTTAAATTAGCTTAAGATAAAGATAAAGATAAGGCTCGAGCTCGCTATAAGCCGTTTAGTATACGAAACGTCTCTTAACGTCGTCTTATTAGTATCCGCGGCCTAGCTTCTTATTAGAAGCCGATTCCGCCTTATTATAAGGCCTTCTATAAACGTTATTTTTTATACTAGGCTTCCGCTTCTTAAATCGATAATAACGTAAAGGATATTATTAAGTAGGGCTATATGCGTAAGATACCGCTCTCGAAGTACTAAAGATATACTAGAGCGCGGTATAATTATACTTAGATAAGTTTTATCCTATAATTTATATACGCGTTATATCTTTAGCTAACTCTTTTCGCCTATTTAGCCGTCTTCTAAGTTTCGCCGCGCTATAAACGTATTATCGTTTATACGCTAGTAGGCTATTCGTTATAATACTTCTAAGGAGTAGAATCTAGTCCGTAGCTACGCCTCTAAGTATCTTAACTACGTTAAGAACTTCCGCCGACTCGAGAAGGCTCGCGTTAAAAACGCTAGCGGTCTTAAGAAGTATTTATACGCTTAGTAGGTCTCTTACGACTATAACCTCTAACGTAAGTAGATAAGGGCTTTCTTAACTATCCGCTTTTACTTTTACTAACCCTTAGTATAGCTTAGTATAGGCGGTATCGGTTTAATACTTTCTATAAACTAACGTATCGACGTAGCTATCGAGGACCGTCTTTTACGTAGCTAGAATAATCTCTTTAAGAAGAATAGCCTCGACCCGAACCGCGATAAGTCCCTCGACGAGAGTAATAGCTAGAAGAGTATATAGTAGTACTAGTACGGGCCCTTAGTAAAGTAAGAAATAGAGGATAGGTAAAATTTAGTTTTAATATTTAGCGAGGTTTTAGGGTTCTTTACGAGTTAGGCTAGGCTTATAGTTTTATACGAATTAGATACGCTTCTCGTACGCGGCGCTTACGCCTAGTAATAAAAATCTATTCTTCTTATATTATAGTTATTAACCCGAAAGTTTTCGTAAGTTAATCGGTTTTATAAAATTTCCTAACTACGAAAGAAACTACGGTTTTTATTCTAGATACCTTTCGGCGACGTGTCGATCTCGGCCGTAGTATATAATATATTTAATAGCTTTCGCCCTCTAATCTTAAATTCTAAAGACTAAGCTTTTACCGCTTCGTCTTATTTCTTAAGCCGAAAGGCCTTCCCCGCCCGCGTTTTATAGGTTTTTCGCCTACTTACGGTAGATTCCCGCGTACTCTTCGTACGCTCTTCGTATCTTTAGAGTTATTCCCCGGTAGGTCTTTTTAAGATTTTTCGCCTCGTTATAAAGGTTCTCCGCGTGCTCTTCGTACGCGTTTCGTACCTAGTAGATTTATTTTTCTAGAATACCGTCGACGGTATTTATTAAGTAATTTCTAGTAGTTCTTAAGTTCGTACTCGTACTTCTACTTATTATATTTATTTAGCTAGCCTAGCTATTTAATAAGATACTACGAACCGCGGGGGCCGTCTTTATAGTTAACGACGGTCTTAACCTTCTATATATCCTCTAACTCTATAGCGGGCGGTTAAAAACCGGGCTTTACGAAGTATAGCTCTAGAAGGGATATATAGAAGATAAAATAGAGCCGCGCTATTAATTATAAGTCTAAGTTATTTAGATTTAGAGGGGCGTAGGGGCCGAAACCGTAGGACTTAGCGAAAATTTTAGAATACTAAAATTTTCGAACACTAAAATTTTCGAACACTAAAATTTTCGAATATTTCGTTTATCGATTCTTTATAATACTCTACTAGAATATTAACTATAGTTAATATTAAGCGTAACTCTTGCGTAAAGCTTAGTAGAAGTAAGCGTAAGTACGTAGCGTACTAAAGCCTAAAGCGTACCTAGTAAAGCGTAACGCTAGCCCTTTACGTAGTACGCGGCGCACCGGAAGCCTATTTAGAAAAGCGTAACGCTAGCCCTTTACGTAGTACGCGGCGTACCGAAAGCCTACTTAGAAAAGCGTAACGCTAGCCCTTACGCGAAAAGCGTAACGCTAGCCCTTTACGTAGTACGCGGCGTACTAGAAGCCTACCTAGAAAAGCGTAACGCTAATCCTTTACGTAGTACGCGGCGCACCGAAAGCCTATCTAGAAAAGCGTAACGCTAGCCCTTACGCGAAAAGCGTAACGCTAGCCCTTTACGTAGTACGCGGCGCACTAGAAGCCTATCTAGAAAAGCGTAATACTAGCCCTTTACGTAGTACGCGGCGCACCGAAAGCCTATTTAGAAAAGCGTAACGCTAGCCCTTACGCGAAAAGCGTAACGCTAGCCCTTTACGTAGTGCGCGGCGCACTAGAAGCCTATCTAGAAAAGCGTAACGTTAACCCTTTATATAGTACGCGGCGCACCGAAAGCCTACCTAGAAAAGCGTAACGCTAGCCCTTACGTAGTACGCGGCGTACTAGAAGCCTATCTAGAAAAGCGTAACGCTAGCCCTTACGCGAAAAACGTAACGCTAGCCCCTACGCGAAAATAAGCGTAACGCGGGGTCCTTAAGCGAATACGCGGCGTACTACTAACCGCATAAAAAATATACTAATCTTTACCCACTTCGTTACTCTAGAACTTTAATTAGTTTTCTATCCTTTAAAATGCCATACGAAGGCTTAAAGAATAGTATTCTACTATAAGAAGACCGGTTATAAAGCCTATAAACGACTTACGACGAAGATACGTCCCTCTATTTTATTTTAGGATTCACCGATCTAAAAGCCCCTACCCTAGAATTCTACGCATTTCTAGAATAATTCG